CTTTTGCTGTACATGCAAAAATATATATAGGAATTCTTCATCTTAATGTGCCGTACTTAAGCCATGTGAAATGTGGAATGTATTATTTCATCTAAGAAAGTTTCTAATTCAAGGACTATGAACATCAACTTTTATTTAATGTTTCATGTGCTGTTAAGGTTGATTTTTTAAAATTTTTTATAGAGGGTTTCTACATCTACATAGAGACATCATCGCCTCGTGTCGCTGGTGACAAAGCTCGCATATCCACACCAACAATGTCTATTACCTCGCAGATGTGTCTGATGTTTTGGTACCACATGTATGGCTCCGATGTCGACACTTTAAATGTATACTTTCAAAAGTTTGGTCAGCTGGGCTCACCTGTGTGGACCAAATCGCAGACACAGGGAAACAGTTGGTATAGAGCACTTGTTGATGTGCCTGATGGTGGATTTGAGGAGGTGGTGTTTGAAGGCATTCAAGGTAAAAGTGAAATCTGATTATCATTTTAATGTATTTAAATTATGTGTCTATTTCCTGATACCTGGATAATCTGACTGTCACTGTCCCTTTAGGAACACCCCTACAACAAAAATAGAGCTGTCCGTTAATGAATTTATATGGGTGCTCAGTACGCTCAGCAAACTTTTGTATAATGTGGAGTGAATATAGTAATGTTAAAATTAAAGCCCCATTTCATTTTTTAAGAAAAATCTGATTTTTATATGTTAGAAAGATTTATAAATATACGAAATTGCTAGTTTAACTGGATTTATACATTCCTAAACATGAAAAAAATGTAAAATAAAACTCAAAATTTGATTTTTTATTGTGTTCTACACAAAATATATATGCGAATGAAATTTTTTTATGTTTGATTTTGAGATAGTTTTCTCGAAATATAAAAGGCACCACAAATATTTTGGTTCTTTTATCAGACATAATCACAGCCAAACACAATATTTTCCATTGCTAGTATAGACACTTTGTGAAATATATTTTTTTATTTTAATTATTTCAAAATTGTTAAAAATTGATTCTGACTGAGAATCGACCGCAGTGTGCAAGATGCAAAGTACAAAAACTAATCTCATTAGAGAGGGTGCACTTTATTTATTGCTCATGATCATATAGGCAACGTAAACTGTTCAGTCAATCAGAATTATTAATGCTTTATTTAATTAATTGTGGGATGAATTAAGAAATCTTATCGTGAGAGTTCATAGCATTGGTGGGCGAGATAAAAAAGGAAGAATTACTCTGCCTACGTCGGATGCCCAACTGTAAAAGGTATACTCAAAAAGCAACTGGCAAGAGCATTCCAGTGGATGCAATCTAGCGTAAAACTAAAATTGATGCCAATATTTGTCTATGGTTTATAATAATTAGGATAATGCATACGCATTTACTTCTGACAAATTTTTTTAGTGAAATTTTGTCAGGAATGGGGGCTGTAACTATTCATGTAAACATGAAAAGCTTGTATCACCAGGTGGGTGTTCTGTAACAAGGCTGTGATTGCCATAATAACAATGATAATTCATTTCACATAGGGACAATGGCCTAAATATCTATTTGGAAAGATGCCATCATAATAATAATTATTACGAGAATTAATTAAGTGTATTTTTTATGGTGGGAACACTGTAGATATTATTGAACCAAAAAATCTCATGAAATTATGCATGTCAGTCCCAGTCTTTATATATTAAATAAGACATAAGAAAATATATGATATTATATCAAAATAACAAAGGTACAATATTGGCTATAAATAATATGAAATGAAGACATAATGATGCAGTACTATTTACGTGATAGCAAAACTAATAAATTAGACATCTTTCTTCCAAGGGAAAAGCTATTATGGTGACATTGCGCTAGACGACATTGTTCTTGGCTACGGTGATTGCACCAAATATACGCTGACCCCAGTTTATGGGAGTTCAGACTGTACCTTCGAAGATTCAGCAATGTGTGGATGGTCCAATAGTAATGGTGACAAGTTTGATTGGATTCGTCAGAGTAGTTCCACAGCCAGTACTGGCACAGGCCCTTCAAACGATCACACATATGGCACCAACAAAGGTTGGTACGCTGCGTAACCATTCACTACTTTTATGGTGTTAAGTTTTTCATGTGTGATTATTGTGTACATAATTATGTATATGAGAACACCCCTCAAGGAAAAGAACCTTAGAGTAACATGTTCTAATATAGGAAATTATGGTTTCTTCCTGTCCACTATAAACATTACATTTTATGAATAGTTTTTTTACATTTTAGTACAATATCCATTTGTTTTCTAGGTTTTTATGTCTACATAGAGACGTCTTCCCCACGTACTAAAGGTGACAATGCTTTACTCCAATCGCTTTACAACAGCCAAACCACCAGCGAATGTCTAGAGTTCTACTATCACATGTATGGTTTAAGTATTGGCACTCTGAACGTGTTCTTCAAGACAGCTAATGGTGGCATGGGTACTCCGATCTGGAGCCTCAGTACGGACCAGGGTGACAAGTGGCGTGCGGCTCGAGTAAATGTCTTCACCACGGAAGACTTTCAGGTGAAAGTGATATCTGATTTTGATACTGCAGCTATCATTAGTATTAATATATTGTTGGTGCTGTCGTTGATGTTGTATACAATATATCAATATTACTGCTGATATTACTACACTATTCCACAACTTACTACTACTGCTACTACTACTACAATTACTGATATTGTTGTTGCACAACTGCCACCACTTATTAGTGATGATTATATTTATTTTCTTCTATTTAATAGGATGTAGTGCACATATCTCTTTTAGATGAATTGCTCAAGACCTTTTTTCCCTGGTCACTGGATGCAGAATTAGTTATACACAACCTCCTATAATTCGTCGCTCACATCACGAACTAACACAATAAAAGTATATTGTGTTAGTTCGTGAAATCAAGAAAGAGCAACAAAATATGTGCTATTGTTGTTAAGGACTTTTTGTGTGGTAAAGAATACAAAATTGCTTGACAACCAATACGCGCTCGTTTTGATGCGCTACTGTGATTTCACAAACTAACACAATCTACTTTGATTGTGTTAGTTCGTGATGTGAGTGACGAATTACTGGAGGTTATTCCTAGTTAAGGTTATAAAATAAAAACACATTATAGACTAGCTTGAATTGTTTATTATTGCTTCATAGTTTTGAGTGTAATTAAGCACTACCAACTTCATTCCAAATGCATCACCGCCTAACATGTACTCTTACGTGTTCTTTGGTGAAGAGAGGCAGATGTAGCGTATTAGCCTTGCCAGTGTGACCAGCGCCAGTCTCAAATGACCTCTTGATTGAAAGCCCAAAGGCCGTAACTGCTGCGATACACAACTTCCATAAAAATAAAAACAGCAGATAAATAGATAATGTATTCCAGTATATTTTCAAAGTGTATTAATGTTCACACCATCTTTCCGCAGATTGTATTTGAAGGCATTGTGGGAACCAGTTATACTGGCGATATTGCTGTTGATGATGTAAAATTACTGGGCTACAGCTGTCCCGATCCTGGCCATTGTGACTTTGAATCTGGTTTCTGTGCCTGGTCAAATGAAGCAACTGATGATTTTGATTGGATGAGAGGAACTGGTGGTACGCCCTCTATCGGTACTGGACCAGACATTGACCACACAACTGGAACAAATAAAGGTAAGCATTGTTTACTTTTAATTTTCTGGACTTAATTAGTTTAGTAATAAATTAGAATAGCACCATTTTTTAAAGACTTTGTCTGCACTGTGAGTAATATCTATGATATGTTGAACTTTGACCTCTTGTGGATATTCAATTCAGCACAGCATAATTAAATAGGGAGTGCATGCTATGTTTCTCCTGAATATTTATAAATAAATGCCTTTGAGGGTTGAAGTATTATATTTAGTACAATTTAATAATGAATCTACATGGTTTTAAAATAGATAGAGAGTTTATTCAGTGTTTCTTATACTTACAGGAAACTACATGTTCATTGACGTCAGTAGCACAGTGGAAAACACAACAGCACGTCTGACAAGTGAACTGATTCCAGCAACAGCTTCAAATGGAAGGTGCTTCCACTTTTGGTATCACATGTATGGCACAGACATTGGCAGCTTACAGGTGATACTGTCCGATGGGAAAACCGAAACCCTGCTATGGGAGTTGTCAGGTAACCAGGGCAACCAGTGGTGGGATGCTTCTCTTGGCGTCCATTTTTCAAAACAATTTAGGGTGAGTTATGCCTATTTTTTAATAATGTATATGTGTTATAATTGATAATAATTTTGAATCACAATGATAATGTTGATAAGTAAGTTGTAGTACTAGATATGGTGGTTTCTTCAGATCGCAGGTTTGGCGAAGTGGAAATGATTTGGTTCCCCAACCTCGAGGTCAGGGTTTCAATCCTTCATTGTGCGTTTCACTAATGTCCTTATGAAGCATCAATCTCTTATCTGCGTTACAC